ATTATAGCTTATTAGTAAATGCTGTGTTCCCAACTTGGGCGGGGGGTGGGAGGGTCAGTGGTAAAGCCACTTGTCTAGCATTGTGGGAGGCCCTGGGTTAAAAAAAAAAAGTTTTACTGACCCTTGCTAGTTATACTACATTGTAATTCACAGAAAAACTTTTTTTCTCTCTGTTGGGAGGATGGAGTAAGAGAGAGGTACAAGTGGAAGAATATGAGAAAAACCTATTGGACTTTTTTCACAGATAATTTTCTTAATCTGTTGGAACTACAACCCTCACCTTCCAGCTTACATACAAAAACCAACATGCAAATGCAGGAACACGGATCCTAAATTAGGCAGTCAACAACAGAGCTGATTTGCCAAAATTGGCTCCACCACTAAACAGCTATAAGACTTTAGAGTCATTTTACCTTCAACTATCCACAAGGTGGTTCCCCTTATCTTACACCACTAAAAAAAACAAAAAAATTAACTCAAAATGTACCAGACTTTTAAATGTAACAACTAACACTGTAACAGAAGAAAACATAGGAAAAGAAATCATGATATTGGGTTCCTAAAGATTTCTTGTATACAACCAAAAGCAAACTTAGTAAAAGAAAAAAAGTGATGAACTTCATCAAAATTTGAAATTTCTATCAGGCATGGTGGTACATATCTATAATCCCAGCACTCAGGAGGCTGGGGCAGAATTGTGAGTTCAAGGCCAGTTTGGTCTATAGCACGACACCCTATCTCCAAACAACACATTTTAAAAACTTCAAAACTTTTGTTCTTTAAAAGACACCATTAAAAAAAAATGAACATGAGCCAGGCACCAGTGGCTCATGCCTGTAAACCTAGTTACTCAGGAGGCAGAGATCAGGAAGATCTTGGTTTGAAGCCAGCCCCAAGCAAATAATTCACAAGACCCTATCTCAAAAAAATTCACCACAAAAAAAGGGCTGGCAGAGTGGCTTAAGTGGTAAAAGCCCCTGCCTAGCATCCATGAGACCCTAAGTTCAAACCCCAGCGCCACCAAAAAAGAAAGAAAATGAACATGGAGCCAGGCTGGTGGTGGTACAGTCTATAATCCCAGATACTCTGAAGGCGGAGGCAGGAAAATCTTGAGTTTAACGTCAGCCTAGGCAAAGTTAACAAGACCAAATAAAAACAAAAGCAGGTTCAAGAACCCCAGGTCCAATTTCCAGTACTGCAAAAAAAAAAAAAAAAAAAAAAAAAGATGGGAATGTAGTTGAGTGACAAAGCACTTGTCTAGGACTTATAGGGCCCTGGACTTTATCCCTGTGAAAGGGAGGTAAAGGGAAAAAAAGAAAAGCAGAAAGTGAAAACATATTGGGGGCCAAAGGTGTGGCTCAATGAGTTCAAACCCCAGTACAGTCAAAAAAAAGACAAACTAAAGTGGGAGAGACTATACTTCACTAAAATCATGTATAAGATGAAAGATTTATGTTCAATGAATTCTCCCTCTACCCCTCCCCATAAATCAACAAAAACAAACATTCCAATGGGCAACCCAAGTAGGCAAAAAATATGAAATGACATTTTATCAACGAAAATATATGAAAACCTAATAAAGAGCAGGACACAATGGCAAAAGCCTGTAATAACAACCAGCACTCAGGAGACTGAGGCAGGAGGATCAAGGGTTCAAGACCAGCCTGTGTTCTATCTAAAAAAAAACTAGTAAATACTCACATGAAAGTTGCTAACCATCATTAAACAAGAGGGAAATGCAAATCAAAACCACAATGAGGTAACACTTCATACCCACTACAATGGCCATCCTCAGAAAGATAAGGCTGGTACAGCATAGCCTTAGTATGTGTAAGGCCCTGGGTTTGATGCCCAGCACCACAGACAGACATACACACAGACACACACACACACCAAAAACTGGTTGGGATATAGAAAAACAGGAATTCTCATACATTGTTAGTAGGATGTAAAATGGTACACACACTTTTTAACAGTTTGGCAATTTCTTAAAAAGTTAAGTTTAGGGCTGGGGATATAGCTCAGTGCTTTAGTGCTTGCCTCGCATGCATGAGGCCCTGAGTTCAACGCCCAGTACACAAAAAAAAAAAAAAAAAAAAAAGTTAAATTTATCATATGATCAACTCTATTCATGGGTATACGCTCAAGGAAAATGAAACATGTTTCGTGAAAAATTTGACATGAATGCTGATTCCTAATAGCCAAAAAAGCAGAAACAATCCAATGTCCATTAACTGGTATCTAATAAAAAGGAACCAAGTACTGCTACACGCTTTACCATGGATGACCCTCAAAAAACATTAAAAGAAGATAAACACATAGAACTATGTATTATATGATTACATTTATATGAAATGTATAGAAGGGGCAAATTTAGAGACAGAAAGTAAATTTTTGGTTGCCTGGGGCTAGGGTTGGAACAGGGAGTCACTGTAAATTGATATGAGGCATCATTCTGGAATGATGGAAATGTTCTAAAACTGGACTGTGGTAATACCTGAACAACTCTGAAAATTTACTAAAAATTAAACACTACACTTTAACCAGGTAGACTCTATAGGATATAAATTATACCTCAATAAAATTGTTTTTTAAAGTGTAAAAATAGCTTGGAACCAGTGGCTCCCACCTGTAATCCTAGATACTCAGTAGAAAAATCTCAGGATCACAGTTCAAAGCCAGCCCCAGGCAATAGTTCAAGAGACCTTATCTCAAAAATACCCAACACAAAACAGGGCTGGTGCAGTGCTCAAGCAATGGAGCACCTGCCTGCTTAGCAAGCACCCAGGCACAAGGCCCAGAGTTCAAACCCGTACCACCAAAAGGAAAAAACAAAACAAAACAAAACTACAAAGGCAAAATGGGCTGGAGGCTGGGCTTAAGTGGTAAGAGTTCCTACCTGCCTGGCAAGCACAAGACCCTGAGTTCAAACTCCAGCACTTCAAAAAATAAATAGAAAGTAAAAATATTAAGTGAAAAAAGCCAAACACCAAAGGCCATATGTTATATGGTTCTATTTATGTAAAATGTCCAGAAAAGACAAATCTATGGAACCAAAAACTACATTTGTGATTGGCTGGGGATGGGAAGCAAGATTAACTGTAAACTAGCACGAAGAAATCCCACTGGGATGATGGAAATATTCTAAAACTGGATTATGGTGAGTTATACAGTAAATTTACTAAAAATCACTAAATTTTATAATTAAAATGAGGGAAACTTACAGTATAAATTATACCTCTGTAAAGTTGTTTTTTAAAAAACAAGAGTATCACATCACATTGGTGTTAACCTTTCATGAGCCATACACCACTTTGTGAATGTGATAAGGACTGACCCTATACAGAAGACTGAGAGACTTCCTCCATATTGCCTACTTACAGACACCCTATAGGTCTGAGGACACCTATTTAATAAATTACTAAATCTCCATAACTCTTGCAACTCTGAAATTCTATGCCACATTAATAACAAAAGCATTAAGAATGGCTACAATCACCTTTTTTACCTTAGAAGGATGTATACCCTACCAGAAAGGAAAGCAAAATTCCTGCTCTAAAACAATGATAGGGACCCCTTTCTTTACTTTCATGACATCCTTCTGGAATCTCTGACTTAATCCATTCCTTCAATATGAAACTGACTGAGATACCCAGAAGCAATCAATCAAGACAGAGCTCAAACAATACACAACAAAGACACATGTAATATGAAGTGGCTTAAGGAAAAAGATACAAGGTCTTTTAGATAAAAATCAGCCCAGGTTGTTTCAAAATAAGAGGCAAATAAAGTGAAAAAAGGAATTTGCAATTTTCCACAAGGCAAACACATCATCAGTTGGTCTTTGTTATAGAACCAGTTTTAGGGCAGGATGCTGGCAAAGAAGAGTGCTCCCTCCTTTACAGACGGGTTTGCTCAAGTCAACAGGATTGAGCCTTTATTTATTTATCTAAACACACCCCCTTTTGATACTCCCCTCATCCTCAATCTCCCACCTCTCCCTAATCACTATGCTTGAGAATCCATGTTTGTGCAAGTTTTGGTATCTGCCACCTGGAATTTCTGCGCCAAATCCACTCCACACACAAGCAGTCAGATATCAGATCATGTCTCATGCCTGGGTGAAACCCTACAATGACACTTAAAATTCCAAAATCTTTACCATGGCTGAGAAGGTTCCTAAAATCTGGCTCCCTCTCTATCCATTGCAAGCTTTCCTTCAGGTCCCCAAACACATCAAGTTCTTCCTCTCCCCTCAAGCCTCATCCCTCAGCAGGGGGAAAAACCTTCCCCAGACTCTTAAAACTCACTTCTCATCCTTCAAGGCTCAACTTAAATGTCATCCTCTCAGAAAAACAATTTTCCCTGAAATCACCCTAGTTGGTATGCAAGTTAGCCCTATCAAGAACATCTTATTTCCTTCCTTACCACCTGCCAAAACCTGTTCTTTTAAATTCTTTTTGACTTATTTAATAATGTGCACCTCGCTGTCTAGAAAGTTGCAGGGACACAAAAGTTATCTCTACTTGGCTCCGCGCGGTACCTGCAGCTTCCCAGCTCCACCCCTACAATGTCTGGCACTTCCTGGGCACTCAAAGGTTCTCGCGCGGATGTGGGAATGAATTAAAGCGCCCTATCCCGCAATTCCACTTCTCACATAGACTCCGAAGGCCTGCCCCACACCTTTACACGTTTCTTTCTCTACAGGACACACTTATCGCTCGTGCTCAGTATCAGTCAAACGTACACAAATCCTCCATGAGCCCCTCAAGACCTAACCGCCCCACCTCACAGGTGCACTCCTCAAAACCCACTCCCCGACTCACGCGCTCCACCAACCCGGTACTTCACACTCGCGCCCTACAAGCCTCTGGCCAAACGAGCGCCCCTCGAATCTCTGTGACTGCTGCAATCCTCCAACTCCCGCGCCTCCCCACGTCCCCGCGTGTCACCCGCCGCCCAGCGCGGCGCCTCCCCCCCTTGGCGGCGTCTGCTCTCACCGATCACCTCCTGCAGCTCATAATCGTCCCTGTTAATGGACCAGGGCAGGGCGCTGGAGTCCTCGGACATGACGGCGGCAGCAGCTTTCGGTCCTCCCTCAAACTCGCTGACCTCTCCCGTCTACTGGCCGCGCGTCTCCCCACCCCCAACCGCCGCCGCCGCGCCCCCACCAACAGCCTTGGGTCGGAAAGCGCAGGGGCGCGGGGTCACTTGAGCGGCAGACTGGCTGGAGCTCACAGCACCGGAGGACCTCGCCTCCTACCCCTCCGCGTCCTGCACTCCCCGGTCCAGCTAACCGACCGGCCCCACAACAGCCGCAACAGAAGCTTCGCCTGGGCCCAGCCCCTCCGTCCCGCCCTCCACCCGAGCCCCACGCACGGGCCAAACTTTCCCTTCTCCCTCCACCTGCCGACACGCAGCGCGCTGACGTCACCGCGCCGGGCACTCCCCACTTCGGGCCCGCCTTCCATCGCCATCTTAAGTGTGGCAGGGTGCACAGCGAGAGAGCAAGAAACCCGAGAAGGTGGAAGTTGACCATGGAAAAGAAGAAATACTTAAGAAGGAGTTCATCGAGGGTATCTGAAAACCAACCAAGAGCCGAAAGAATCACAAAGTGTGCTAGCCACATTAAACATGGCGACCGAAGAGTGTCCAAGCGGAGGGGGCGGAGCCACTTCTAGCGGTTGGGGCACGTTGGGGGTCTCCGTCGTCGCATTCATTGGTTTGTTTTAGGAGGAATGAAAAATGCAATGGGTTTGTGTGGACGTCAATCATATGTTAGTCCTTCCCCCAGGCTCTCATCCGCAATGAAGTGGACCAGTACCGTACTTGCCTAACCTCTTTCTCTGAAGTGACGTCACGGCGTAACGGTCGCACCCTTGATACGTGTAAACTGATTCTCAGGGTGTGGAGAAGCCCAAGGGAGTGGCTGGGTGGGTAAGCCTTTGAGGGAGGACAACTGCCAACTAGGATAAAAGGTCTTGGGTTCCCGGACGGAATGGAGCCGGAAGCTTACCTCTGACGACATTTATTTCAAGGCGGAAGTTCTCTGCAGCTCCGCCTTCAGGGTTGATCAGTCCTTGGCCATAGATCTGGAGAGCAAAACTGCGCCTGCCCAGGGGCTTCGTACCAAGCCCCTAGGCACTAAGGGTTTTGTTTTGGTTTTTTTTTAAACCATATGGCGGGGCCTGGGCTATTAATTGAAATTTGGTCCAAGCAGCTTGGGGTCGTTAAAATGGCCCTTTACTTTCTTATACACCCTCACTGAACTTCGGTTTTCTCAGGTTTGCTAGGTAAGACCATTGAAGATCGCGTTTGAATGAACTGGCCGAAAGAGAAAAAAAAAAAAAAAAACGTGAATAGGGCTAGGTGCAGAACTTTTCTCAGCTGAATACCTCTGGGTCCAATAGCAGTCACCAAGCAAAAAATCTTGATGAAGACCTGCCAATCACTGTAAACCCTATGCTGAGCTCTCTCCTAAAGGAAGTGCACTGACCATGCAAGTTAGCACGTTTCCACCTGGTTGATAGAATTGAAACACGTTTCATGGAAGAAGTGGTATTTCTGCCAGACCTTGCAAAATAACATGATTTCAACAAGTGGAAAAAGAGAAAATAGAATACTCCAGTAAGCAAAGGTACCAAAGTTCCAGAAAGTATAGCACAGACTTTATAGAAATTGGTTGCAGCCGTTACTACTGACACGTTTCATTTACTACGAATGCTTTTTCTTTCTGCTGAGAGGAGCAACGGTGTGGGCTGGGTTCATGGCTCAAGGGGTAGTAGAGTACTTGCCTAGCAAACTCAAACCCCTGACTTGAAATCCCAGTACCGCCAAAAAGTAAATGAATGAATAAAACGGGAGCAACATCTGAGGGTAAGGATTAGAAATCTCAAGGTTTGTACCAAAAGAAAGATTCATAAACCGGAAGTGGGTTTGTTGGGCAGTATAGACCACAGGCAGACTTTTCTTTTCACTCCTTAAAATTATACACATAATAGTATAGACTTCGGGGAGAGAGATTTGCAACCTTCCGCAACCTTCCTCTCTTCCCTCTCCCCCAAGAAAAGCAACTACTAGTAGTGAAAACTCAAGATGTTATTGGGTATGCATTCTTGTTGGGCAGGGTCACAGCACGTTCAGTAATGTTACTCCTCAACACACACACCTTGGTGGGTTAGTCCAGACAGAACCTACTCTGCAGAGCTAGTCATTTTAATTCCTCTGTTTCCTACTTTCCCTATGAGACCTCACAGAGGTCACAATCCCAGGATTTTAATGAGCAAAGAATTGGGGAGGCCACAAGCTCAAACTTGAAACCCTTTCTCGGACTATAGAGTAAGTAGTATCTTCTGTGTGAGAGTACTGTCATAAGCACTGTCAGTAACAGTAGTGACCAAAGCCGCCTTAGTTCCACTTTTCATCAGCATAGAGTTTTTGTAGAGAACAGTAAACAACTAAGTAAATAAAAGTTGCAAAGTGTCATGCAGGAAAAAGCATGTATACTATGATATAAATTAGGGAGTCAGCCGTGCAAAGAATATTTTAAATAGGATACAGAGCAGTTTAAAGCATTTAAACTGTTAATAAAGTAATGCTTTTATTCCAATTATGTTGCCGTGCTTGTATATGGCTCCCTTAATCATTTCAGGGAAGAGGACAAAGGAAAGATAGGGTGATTCTGGAACCCTGGCCCTTATATCAAATTTTCCCAAATCCTACCCAGGTTTCTTGAAAGTATGACATATTTTCCTAGGGAGAAGGACCTGTATCTCCTTACACTCTCAAAGGAGTCCCTGTCTTAATTTGGATTCCACCCCCCCTCCAAAAAAACAAACCAGGCCAGGATTTGGTTGCAAACTAAACTGTAAATAAATGGATAGTTGAGATTGAAAAGGAAGAAGAGTCATTAAAGGGTGCATTAATGAGGAGTTAATGGGTGAACACTGGGATACTGGATGGGTCCTGCTGTGATCCACCTGAGAAACTGTGGAACACAGCTACAAACTGTTCCACTAAGAAATAAGGAAGGGGCTGGATACATGCTTAAGTAATAGAGTGCTTGCTTAGCATTCTTGCATGCTGGGTTCAATCCACAGCACAGTAAGAGCATTTTTTAAGTCTTAGGCTCAATCCTCAGCCTGGAGGGGGGAGAGGAGGGAAAGGAGAGAGAGAGGATAAGAAAGAGCATTGATTTCTTTTCCTCTTTACCATGTTAATCCTCCACCGCTCAGCTCAGTGCTTGAAAGAACAGGCTCCTATGGTCAGAGTGTGCACAGCACACAGGCAGCCATAGTCATTCCTTCTCATGTACCAGAAGCTCTCCAAAAGCAAACTCTGCAGTAGGCCCAAAGAATAAGATCCTAGTATACATAGCATCTATCGTTGTGTGTAAACCTAAAACATAAGCATCACTCTCTTGACTGAGAAGCCAAGAGTGGAAGTATACTCATGCTTCCTCTTCCTACTGTCACCCTTAAACAACTCTGCCTGCCTTGTGCTTTGCTCTTAGCACCTGCAGGATAGAGAGGGAAAGACATTTCAGTACCAAGACTATCTTGGGTAATCACTAGCAGGTAATTACATAGCTATAATAATTCAAGTTTTATAGGCTTCTTTTTAATTGTTTTTGAAGTCTAGAAATTAATGTTTCCGTATGTGAGAAACCTGAATTTTTTTTAAAGCACAGTTTTATGTCTCATGAGCTAATTTTCTCAGAAATTCCATACCAGTACCAGAACCTACTACAGACTTCTAGAATCTGTTCTCTACATTAATCCCTTATTACATGTGGCATACAATGGACATCAACTCTTGTTACGAGAAGGGACGATAACTATACCTCATACAACTGTGCCTTTAGCTTCATGTCAGGAATAGTAACTTACAGATGCACATGTTCAGTCACACTGTTAAGTTCAGGGAGTATGAAAGTAGAGGAAACATACACAGCTAGGAATCTGGAGCCCAGTGATAAACTGACATCTTTGTAAATCCAAAAGTCCAAAGTGATAGGCACTCTGAGCTTGCAAGATAGATAGATGTAAAGGTTGTTGTAGGGTAAAAACAATCCATGTAAAAAAAATAGTCTCAGCACCAAACTGAATTCTGAGCCAGAGAGGACCTTCAGATTCTCCCAAGCCATCACCCCACCAACTTATTCTGCTGAAGCTAAATTGAGCCCAAAATGGGAAATACCTGACCAAAGTAAAACTGGTTCCTGGAGATTCCAAGATGGCGGCTAGAGGTAGGAAGCAGAAAGCGACCCTCCTATAGTGAAATCTTGGAGAGACGCTGGAGACACACTTTGCAGGCATAATCACCGAGAAAAGGCATAACTTTGACCCCTCCACATCTCGAGCCAGTGCAGAGAATCTCCACTTCACGTTAAATGGAGAAACGAGGACGGCCCCCAGGGCTGCCAGTGGCCGGCGCCCAGACAACTTGGGAAGACGTAGACCAGCTTACTGTCGATTAGTACACTAACACTCCCTGTTTATACATTTGAAACTCTCTTGTCTGATACCTTGTTCTGCTTTCTCCCTCTTGTCTGTATATTTGTTTTCCCCTTTTCTTTAACTTCTTGCTTTCCATCTCAGCTCACTCTTCCATTCTCAATATTACCATTGTTATTGTTACAAGCTAGAAAATACTTAATTACACACAGTACAGGGACAGTAACAACACCAAGGACAATGACGGGAAGACAGAAAAAACAGGGAAACCAGTTTCCCCACAGCAAAAAATTAGTACAGGAACCAGAGGGGAATGAAGAGAACAGAAACTCAGATCCAGACTCCAACAAAATGAAGATAAACTATGCCAAAGGACCCAATGAAGCCCACAAGAATAATTTAAAAGAAGACATACTACAAGTACTCAATGAGAATTTTATAGAGATGATACTGGATAGGGTCAACCAAAATGTACAGGAGACACTCAAGAAATTCCAAGACAATAAAAATAGAGAATTTGAAAAAGCAAAAGAAGAAATAAAGGAAACCATAGAAGCACTGTATAAACACCAAAGTGAAAGAGAGAACACAATGAATAAATGGATAAATGAACTCAGGACAAAAATAGACAACAATAAAGAAGAAAACAGCCAGGATATGGAAAACCTCAGAAAAAAGAATGAAACAGAACTGCAAAACAAAACGGAAGGCCAATCCAGCAGAATAGAACAAACAGAAGACAGAATCTCAGAACTTGAAGATGAAATGGTAATTAAAGGAAAAACTGAAGAACTATTAATTAAACAACTCAAGACCTGTGAAAAGAAAATGCAAGAACTCACTGACTCCATCAAAAGACCAAACTTGAGAATCATGGGCATCGAAGAAGGAGAAGAGGTGCAAGCGAAGGGAATGCGTAATATATTCAACAAAATAATAACAGAAAATTTCCCAAATCTAG